GATTGATGACTTAGTTAGCAACCCAGCAACCAAACAGAAAAGGGGTGGTGATGCAAGAAAAGTAGCCCCTAAGATTTGGGGCCAGGTAGTGAGATCCAGGGCACCTGGTTGGAGGGAAATTACTCCCGTGCTATTTTGGCGAGTCTTGTCCTGAGGACAATTAAAACAGTCCAGACAGGTCACTGGGTGAGACCAATTTCCTGGTTTGTTTATTTGAGCCTGATTGTTTTTCACCATTGAGCAGCAGGTCACGGTCCTGCTACACTGTTACCCCAGCTCTGTGGAGAGCAATCCTTTTCATATTTGATTTCTCCAGGTTTCCCTAAGGATCCTAGCCTTGTCTTTATCTGGCTGGATTGTTCTGGTCTCTCTCTCTCTCTCTGCCCCACCCCCCCCAGGTCCAGAGTAGAGGGCAATGCCACTAATCAGTTTCAGCTTCATCTTATGCAGGCATTTGGCTTTATGTCCCGAGTCGCCCTGCAAGCAGAGAAGATGAATCATCACCCGGAATGGTTCAATGTGTACAATAAGGTAACTAAATTGCCTTATTTGGGGATCACCTTAGCTATGGAGTTTAAGAAACTCCATTCTTCCTTGTTATCCTATGCAGGGATGTGTCAAGTGTCATTGTACTTAGGAAAGCATTCTCTTATTCTTTCACTGAGGATCCCTGGGTATTACTGCAAATTAGTAACAAATTTTCCAATCCGCTCAAGACAGCAGTGACCAAATTCTTTATTTTCATGTTTGTCTTCTACTGAAACTAATATGAGCTAGTTGGGCCAAATTAAGTTCCTGAATTAAACTTGAAAATGAGCCATGCAGATAAATTTTATACCCTCCTAAGATAAATTTTTGAAAGTAATGGTAGCAAATAAGAGAGAGATGGCCTTATTTAACTTACTGAAATAATTATGCTCAAGAACTGTGCTTTAAAAATAACTGTTTATTAAATTCTACATTCTAAGTGGGAACTGGCCTTCTTAAGACAAAGAGCAGGCTAAAAAGATTTTAAGTAGTTTTTAAGGGGGCTCAGTAAGAAGAATCATGGTCTCCCCCCTCCATCCCAAATGTCCTTGCCTTTATGGTCATGCCATTTGAAATATCATCTAGATTTCTATGTGGTTCTGGTTTTTTTTTTTTAAATTCTCTTTGAAAAAAGAGAACATTTCTTGATGTACTTGTGATTTATTGGAATAATTCAGAATATGCAGGTACCATGATAAACTTTTCCTTCCTACTTGCCTCTCTTTGTTCATAATTTTGCTTGTACTTTTTAATTGATTTTTCAAGAAGCCACAGTCTGTTCCTCCACCCCACCCCACCCCGTCCCACTTCTCTAATTTGGAAATGGGCTTTTCTGAACGTAGTTGCTAAGATACTACATTTGATAGCTTGGTCTTTCTCAGTGGCCTGAAAATAGTCGTGTAATTAAAGTAATGGGAGTTAAAATGGAACCTTAGTCTCTCTCGGGCTCTCTTTTTTTTTTTTTGAGAGACAAGATTTCAGATTCTGGCAGCTGAATTGCCCTTCACATGAGAGGACCTTTTTATCCCTGGGCGGCTGCTGGGCCCAGCCCGAAGCAGACTGTGCCCCCAGAGTTTATTCAGTTTTGGAAATGCTGTGCTTATTCATAATGTAGTATTTTATAAATCATTTAATCTCCCCAATTCTGAAATGTGAATGTTGAATAATAGATTGATTTCCAAACCACCCAAGATGAGAACCATGAATTGCAGCTCCAGGTTTGAAAAACTGCTTCTGTGTTTCTTAGGTGCAGATAACCCTAACGTCACACGACTGTGGTGGACTGACCAAGAGAGATGTGAAACTGGCCAAGTTTATTGAAAAAGCAGCTGCTTCTGTGTGATTGCTTCCAAAATGGATGTCAAACCTGATGCACGTCAAACCCGATGCACATCTTGCCATCATGTATGTGGAAGGCAGTTCACATGAACAAATTCAGTTGTCAATTTAAGCTCCCCTTTTGAACAGTCTTTTGTACAATTAGTGTTTAATTACAAAATGATTTAAACTTGAGCCTGAGGATTTTTCATTATTTCTAATGAAAAAAATTCTTTCTGTATTTTTTTTTACATAAAGTAAACCAACTCAGGGAATTATATTAATGATATTCAAAGAGAGAAATAGCATTCTTAAAGCCCAGAAATTGGGATGGGGGAGTATGCACACATTTTATAACCCAGAAATTCAAGTGATGATGGTGACTTTACCAATCAATGCATTGTGTTGGAGAATAATTAGAAGGTAGAAGAAGAATGGTGAACTCTGTAGGTAAATGGTTTTAACCATCTATAACAATTCTTACGATGCTGAAGTTGATTTGGATTGTAGCTGCTATTTTAGCTAAGTAGTTAGATTACAAAAGTCACAGAAAATGGGTAAGCTGTCTTGTTTTATCCTCTTCAGAGAGGGATTGAAGGAGAGGACAAGTGTCTTAACAATGGCCTCTGGCACTTTAGGGCAATATAAGGTTTCACTGTCACAGTGACCAACTTGCCAGATAATTATTTGACTTTCTGCGTTAAGGAGGAATTAAGGGTCATTCTTTAAAATCATTTGCAGTTCGTGACTCCTGAACTGAGGGTCTATAGCCACTAAGTTAGAAGCTACTGAGTTTTTATCCCATAATGAGCTCTATTTATTCTGTGTGTCACCGATAGGGGTAAAATGGAATATAAAGTAATCTATTACTTAAAAATTACAATACCAGTGTTCTTTGAAGGAACTCAGGAATGTACTTATTATTATTTTTTAAAGATTTTATTTATTTATTTTAGAGAGGGAGAGGGAGACAGAATCTGAAGCAGACTCTGCACTGAGTGCGAAGCCTGATGTGGGGCTCGATCGCACGACCATGAGATCATGATCTGAGCCGGAACCAAGAGTCAGACACTCAGCCAACTGAGTCACCCAGGTGCCTCAGGAATGTATTTTTTTTTTTTTTAAGATTTTATTTATTTATTTGACAGAGAGAGACACAGCGAGAGAGGGAACACAAGCAGAGGGAGTGGGAGAGGGAGAAGCAGGCTTCCCACCAAGCAGAGAGCCTGATGTGGGGCTCGATCCCAGGACCCTGGGATCATGACCTGAGCCGAAGGCAGACGCCCAACGACTGAGCCACCCAGGCGCCCCAGGAATGTATTTTTTTTAAACTTAATTTACTTTTAAAAAGATTTATTTATTTGAGAGCTTAATTTAATTTTTTAAAGATTTTATTTATTTATTTGAAACACAGAGAGAGAGAGGGAGGGCATGAGCAGGGGGAGGGGCAGAGGGAGAGGGAGAGGCAGATCCCTGCCCAGCAGGGAGCCTGAAGCGGGGCTGGATCCCAGGACCCTGAGATCATGACCTGAGCCGGAGGCAGATGCTTAACTAACTGAGCCACCCAAGCGCCCCATGGACTGTACTTATTAATAAGATTAGAATATAGATTTAAAGAATATATATAAATATATATCTGCCCAAGGAAGGTGTGTTAATCCCTTGAAGCATTATGATGGCAGGATTTAACAGGGCTCATCTTTGTAACCCACCTTGTTTCAGAGACCAGAAAAATCTGTATGTTACAACAAGCAAACTTTCCCTCCCCACCCAACCCTGGCCCCAATCAGAAAAACCATATGGAAACAGGACAAGGAGGCCGAGCTCTCTGAAGCCAGTTCTTGGCTGGATCTGTTGGCTGGGGAGAGACCCGTACTGTCAGTTTGCCCTGTGGATATGAAGTACACCCTCCGTATGAAGAGAGACAAGAGCCGCCCAGATTCTGTGGCTGCTGGGAGATGCAGAATTGGTACTTCTTAGAAAATTTTTTGGAGGAAAAAGCAAACTCCCCCCCCTTTTTTTTTTTTAAAGATTTTATTTTTTTTTTTAAAGATTTTATTTATTTATTTGAGAGAGAGAATGAGAGACAGAGAGCACGAGAGGGGAGAGGGTCAGAGGGAGAAGCAGACTCCCTGCCAAGCAGGGAGCCCGATGCGGGACTCGATCCCGGGACTCCAGGATCATGACCTGAGCTGAAGGCAGTCGCTTAACCAACTGAGCCACCCAGGCGCCCAAAGATTTTATTTTTTAAGTAATCTCCACACCGAACCTGGGGCTCAAACTCAAAACCCTGAGATCAAGAGTTGCATATTCTTCCAACTGAGCCAGCCAGGTGCCCTGCATTGTGTTTTCATAACTCTTTCCTATATTATAGATTTGGGAACTTTTAGACATTTTATTACCAGAGATTTTTAGCTCAGTGCTTCAATTTTTTCACATGAATTTTTATTTTTTTATTTAATTTTTTAAAGATTTTATTTATTTATTAGAGAGAGAGAGCACGAGCATGAGCTATGAGGAGGGGCAGAGGAAGAGGGAGAAGCAGGCTCCCCGCTAAGGAGGTAGCCCGATGTGGGACTCAATCCCAGGACCCTGAGATCATGACCTGAGCCGAAGGCAGCCGCTTAACTGGCTGAGCCACCCAGGCGCCCCTCACATGAATTTTTGAACATGAACAAATTTAAGCATATCTAAAAGTAAAGTGAATAGTACATTGAACCCTTATGCACTCAGATTTAACAGTTATCAAGATTTTACATCAGTTACTTCATATAATTCTCCATTTCTCTTTTCTTTGCTAAAGCATTTAAAAGCTTTAAAATTTAAAATCCCAGACAGCATGTCCTTTTACCCCTACATCCTTCAGTAAATATCTCTAGAAAATATGGTCGTTTTCTTGTATAAACCATAATGCTATTATTTCACCTAACAAAATAAAACATGATTCCTTGGTATCACTTAATACCCAGGCAAAATCAGATTTCCCTGAAGGTCAGGAATGCCCTTGGACAGTAATTTTGTTTTAATCAGGGTCCACATGAAGTCCACCCATCACATCTGGTCTCTTTATTCTTTTAATCTAGAGTGAGCAAGGTCCCCTCCCCCACCCCCCCCGGCCCCCCCCCCCCCATTTCCCCATGTCATTGACTTACTGTAAAAATGGGATCAGGTGTCCTGCGGCATATCCCACCTTCTGGATTTGTTTGTTCCCTTTGGTGTCATTTAACTTGTTTCACTGTACCCTGAAACCTTTCCCCTTATTTTGAATGTAAGCGTGAGAGGCTCAGCTTGTTGGCTGGTAACATATATACCACATATTAGCACAGCAGAGAGAGCAGGATTTGGCTTGTTATTGCAGTGGTGAAGACCCAAGAATGCATCTGCTAATTAGCAGTTACATGAGGGTTTGACATCAGGTCCTTGTTAGGGGTTGTTGCATCTGCTGGAACTCACAGGCTTGACTGCAGAGATCCCACAGTAGAAGGCTGTGGAAGTACTCACCAGGGTAAATTCCAACAGAATGAATCTCCAGACTGTTCAAGTAACTGACATTTCAGCCTCAAAAGGCACTGTCAACGTTGGAGGCTCCCAGGTTCCCTTCTATTCCAAATCTTTGTGCGATGGCAGTGGCTTTTCTGATGTACTAAGCTTTGGTTTCCCTCCCATTTTCTTTCCAAATGATCTCTGGAGTAGAGAGGAGTTCCATAGACATGAACTGTGACCCTTTGGATGACCTCCATAGGTAACAAACCAGGTGCCGGCATGTTTGACAGTTCCCTTTTCTAAATTGAAGTTAACGTTGTGAAAATAATGGTTACTTCCTGGCATTGGTAGGAGTTAGGAAATCTTTGGATAAACAGAATGAGCGTGGTTCTTTATGTTTTTGCTCTAGACAGAAAGCAGCATGTATATTGTGTTTGGACCCAAACCTGACTCCCATTAATGTCCTGCAGGACTAGTGTAAGTACGGAGCAGTCTATATGCTCTCTCATCCAGTGTTCAAAAATAGACTGGTTGAACTCTAACTTTCAATTTTGTGGAATTCCCTGCAAAACACCAAGAGCTGTAATAGAGTTTGGCTATCATATGTGAGCTTTTTTTTCAGTGCCAGTTCTTGGGACAGGTAAAGGAGTGACTCTTGGCCAGAAGACTTGAGTCACCAAGCTGCCATGCCTGCTGACTGCTTACGTCCCCAGCTGTGTGTGGTTGGGGGGGTGGCGCCCACGTTGGGCACAGTGTGAGTTGCTGCTGAAAGGGCGGAGGAGGTGCCCCTTTGGCTTCTTATCCCAGGGTGCCTGTCATGCCCACCTGTCCGTGAGAAAATATGGATGATTTCGGTAGGCCCTGGAGAAGCTTGTCACGTCTGATTGTGCTCACCAGCTGGAGTTCCATTCCCAGACTAGATGTGTTCATCAGTGACTTCAGAAACCACATTCAGCTGTGCTTGGCTGTGCTGATGGGACATTCTAACAACAACTGGACTTCTCTCTGCTGCTTCCAGCTGGCCATCTTTCCTCACCCCTCCAAGCATCATGAAAGAATTCTTTACATCCTTAATCTCCTCTCCATTTCTCCCCCAAAGTGTGCTTTGATGCTCTAAGAGGGAAGGCATGGAAGTATACCATTGGGGTTCCTGGAGATGGACTTCCACCATGCTCAGCTGTTTGAGCAAGCGTAAGGATCCCTGATGCCGTTCATTTGTATATTCCTACAGCATACACCTACCAAGGGCCTTCTATGTCCCCCAACTTGAGTAGACACATTGATGTATTGGGGCAGGTGGAAACAGATTCAGGTGGAGAACTAATTAAGGCTTTCTCCCAGCAGCTGCTCCAGGTGGCCACTGTGGGGATGTTGGGCATGAGCCCAGAATGCATTAGGGGCCATATGACCAAAGGAGGCAGTAGGAGGTATAGGAGGAGCTGATCCCCGAGGAAGAGAATGTAGAGTGGGAAGATGAGGCTAAAGTTTGAATCTTGGGGACGTGAGTTGAAGTGATTCTTAGCACTTCACTGTTGATGATTTTAAATGCAGAAATTGAGTAAATAGGATGTTATTTCCCAGTTCAGTGTACTGGTTGCCTACAAGAGTGTTTTCCTACCAGGAACAGTCATATACATTTGTTTTAGAATGCCTGGGACTACAGAACTATTGCAGTGATTACTTGCTTTTTTTTTTTTTTAAAGATTTTATTTATTTATTTGAGAGAGAGAATGAGACACAGAGAGAAAACATGAGAGGGGCGAGAATCAGAGGGAGAAGCAGACTCCCTGCTGAGCAGGGAGTCTGATGCGGGACTCGATCCTGAGACTCCAGGATCATGACCTGAGCTGAAGGCAGTCGCTTAACCAACTGAGCCACCCAGGCGCCCCATTACTTGCTTTTCTTATGGCTCAAGAATTTATGTTCCCAGGAATGTGACCAGTTTAGCCACTAAAGGTTTAGTACAACAGAGGGCTACCCAGATCCCTCTGTCTAGATTTGCCTTAGAAGCCAAAGGGATTAGGAAAGGAAAGCAAGGAGAATATATCAATCCCAAGAATTGAATAGAGCAAAAACCCTATGGCTCTTGTACTTAAAATATCTCAGCCGCACAGCCTCATCCCCTATGCTTTAGGAGGGTCGTATATGCACGTTACAGGCCCCCCATAAGCTAGTGCTGGGCATAGCTGACCTTCTGTGTTCCTCCTTTTTCTTCTGTTCTAGCCCCAACCCATCAAAATCTTTTCTGTCCGTCCTGATGTTTCCAGTCCTGTGCCCTGGATGTATGCTCTTGGCTCTTAGAACCCCAGAGAACTTTGCTTTTCCCTCTTATATGACCCTTAACTTAGTCTTAACACATTAGTAAGGGATTTTGTCTACCAGATGTGGATACTTCTTTTTTTTTAAGATTTTATTTTTTATCTGAGAGAGAGAGAGAGAGAATGAGCAGTGGGGAGGGGCAGAGAGGGAGAGAGAGAGAAATAGACTCCTTACTAAGCAGGAAGCCCAATGTGGGGCTTGATCCAGGACCCGGAGATCATGACCTGAGCCGAAGGCAGATGCCTAACCAACTGAGCCACCCAGGCACCCTCAGAGAAAGGAAGGGCTTTTGTCTGCTCTAGCTCTGGTATCTCCCAGATTTAGCCTGGAGTTTCACAGTTTCTGTGTACTTGTATCCCTTTCACTGAACTGAGGTGCTTAGTCTCCCTGTGAAGAGAGGATCTCAGCATAGATCAGCTAGGGAGTATTTGACTCTGGGGGCCTGCAGGCTAGTAATATATTAGAATGCCCAAGAACGACATCATAAAGCAAGAGTTCCTTTTGTGGGCCCTGCTCTGTGGCCTCTTGGAATCTAGATGCCATGGAAATCCCTAAGCAGAGATTTTCTGTTGGATGATCAAAGCAAGGAATAAAAATTGAGAATTTGGAAAATGTCTCAACAATTTCATTACCAGAACAATACAAGAGTCACTTCTAGCTCGCTGTTGGATAATCCATCAGTGGCGTTCTGTGCGAGATTCGGGAAATTTCAGTAAATATTCTTTTTTTTTTTTTTAAATTTATTCATGAGAGACAGAGAGAGAGAGGCAGAGGCAGAGGGAGAAAGAGGCTCCCTGCAGAACAGGGAGCCCGGTGCGGGACTTGATCCCAAGACCCTGGGATCATGACCTGATCCAAAGGTAGATGCTTAACTGAGCCACCCAGGTACCCCAAATGTTCTTTGTTTCTATTGCTTGTTAAGAAACGTGCAAATGGCAGCTTGGGGGCATTTGGCTGCCCAAAGCGAGGTGCATGCCCTTGACGGTCTGCCTCCTCTCAACTGGTGAGGTTGGTGAAGGCTCAGCCAAACATTTTGCTTCTTTGGCTTTAATATCATGACTGGCTAGTTAAGTCAACATTCAATCACGCTCTTACTTGACCCATACACTGAATTTTACTCTGTTTAGTCCTTTTATCTTTCTGTCCTTTTTACTTTGCTTTTATTAACTGCTGTGTTAGAAAATTTGAAGGTTTTTTGGAGGTAACAGACCTGATCTCAAAACAAACAATGAAAATTATACATCTTGTTTTTATAGATTATAAAAGTACATACATTCTGTATTTACTGTTAGGAGAGTGTGTTCATTTGTTACACGTAATGAGAAAAAATAATACATACTTTTTGAGAAAAATTGGAAAGCATAGATAAATATAATATAACCAAGAAAAAGAATTACTGTAAGCTTACCATGCATAGGCAGACACTGTCAACATTTTGGCAGGTGTCTTGCTCAGTTTTTTCTACCTGTTTTTGCACAGTTGAAATAATACCGAGTAGAGAATTTTATATCTTGTCTTGTTTTTGTGTTTTGCTGTCCAGTGGATCATAAACATTTTTTTAAGCCATGAAAAATGCATAGGCATATTTTAGTATCTATATAATATTCCATGAGATGGATATGCCATCATGTACTTAACCAGTCTTTCTTGTTAGACTTTTAAATTAAACTGTTTCCAAGTTCTTGCTACTGTAAGTAATGCTGGGATGAACATGTTTGGCCAGAGCCACTTCATTCCAGATTGCATTCTCTTGGGGTAGGTTCCTTGGATTGGAGGTTAAAAGTAGTTCTAAGGCTTTTTAGAGGAGTTGGCCAATTTACACGCCCCCTGGCAGTTTATGAGACTGCCTCATCACACCACACTGTTGCCAGCATTAGATACTATTACATTTAAATCTTTGCTAATTTTGTAAGCAAAAATAATGGCTGTACCTAATTTGCATCCCCCCGGCCCCGTTAGTTGTGCTACTGAACATTTTCGGGAAGTTCATTACCATTTGAAGTTATTTCATGAATTGACTGTGTGTTTGCCCATTTTTTCTTAGGGTGTCCAGTTTGTTTTTTTATCACTGATTTGTGAACACTTGTATGGGTGATGATTTGATTATTACCAGTTTTTCCTTCTAGACTGACAATATTTAGTTTTATTCTCCTTATGTCCACAGTGTCTGCTGTTTGCTCTCTTGCCTGGCATTAGTAATCACTCAGTAAAAATTTATTGAAGGAGTAAATGAAGACAATGCTTTGTTTTGCTTGAGAAGGACTAGTAATCATTTTTTTTCCGCCCAGAGGTCTAAGAGAAGGAACTAAGTAACTGAGTGGGGACAGATCAACTCAGGGGTCATCATACATATTTTATTTATTTTTTATTATGATTTATTTATTTATTTATTTTAAAGATTTTATTTATTTATTTGACAGAGACACAGCGAGAGAGGGAACACAAGCAGGGGGAGTGGGAGAGGGAGAAGCAGGCTTCCCTCGGAGCAGGGAGCCTGATTCGGGGCTTGATCCCGGGACCCTGGGATCATGACCTGAGCTGAAGGCAGATGCTTAACGACTGAGCCACCCAGGCGCCCCTCATCATACATATTTTAGTCGTCATTCAGTCAGCATTGTGTTGCAATTAAAAAAACCACACATTTATTTAAGTAATCTCTACACCCAATGTGGGGCTCAAACTCAGAATCGCTTGTTCTACTGACTGAGCTAGCCAGGTGTCCTGCATTGTGTTGCAATTATTTATTTATTTATTTATAATTTTTATTATTTAATTATTTATTTTTAAATTTTTATTTCTTTTTAATTTTAATTTATTTTATTATAAATTTATTTTTCAAGTATTTATTTATTTATTTATTTATCTATTTATTAAAGATTTTATTTATTTATTTGAGAGAGAGAGAGCATGAGAGGGGGGAGGGTCGGGAGGGTCAGAGGGAGAAGCAGACTCCCTGCCGAGCAGGGAGTCCGATGCGGGACTTGATCCCGGGACTCCAGGATCATGACCTGAGCCGAAGGCAGTCGCTTAACCAACTGAGCCACCCAGGCGCCCCGAAGTTTTTATTTATTTATTTGACAGAGAGATAGACAGAGCCAGAGAGCACAAGCGGAGAGAATGGGAGAGGGAGAGGGAGAAGCAGGCTGTGCACTGAGCAGGAAGCCCAGATGTGGGACTCGATCCCAGGACCCTGGAATCATGACCTGAGCCGAAGGCAGACGCTTAACCATCTGAGCCACCCAGGCGCCCCTGTGTTGCAATTTAAAAGTATATTTAAATTTATATTCACAGAGGGGAGAAAGCAGAACCTCATCTCTACAAAAAGTATGTAATGTTTGGGATCTAGTTCTGTTGTAAGATAATCATACCTCTTATTCAACTTTTTGACAGGAGGAGAGATTCTCAGTGTCAGGCATTTGTGAAGAGAGTCATAATGAGTCGTCTTTTTAAGATGATTATGATTAGCATCGTCTCACTGAATGCCTTTTTTGTGGTCTTGTGGACTGATTATAGTACAAAATACAACTTGTTCAGACTTTTTGAGGTAAGCAGACAAAATGGGTAAAGTTTCTTCTGTTTCATCCTTTTTATTTGTGAAAATGGTATAAGATTTTTCAGGCATTTTGTTCAAGAAAATTTCCCACAGAAAAGCTCTAAGGACTTAAAAAATAGACTCTAAAGTCTGGAAAGATGGGAGCAAAATAGTAGCAGTGGTGACATGGTCTTTTCATCTCTCCGAATTTCCTCCAAAAAAGAAAAAAAGAAAACCAACCTGGGTGGCTCAGTCCAGTTAAGCACTCAGCTCTCGGTTTCGGCTCAGGTCATGACCTCAGGGTTGTGAGGCTGAGCCCCGTGTCGGGCTCCGCACTCAGCAGGGAGTCTGCTTGGGATTCTCTCCCTCTTTCCTTCCCCCGCGTGCGTGCGCTCTCTCTCTCGCTCAAAAAATAAATCAATCAATCTTGAAAAAAGCGAAATGGAGCAACTTGGGAGCAAAACCAAAACCCTTGGGCAAGACTGAAATCAAAACTAGTTAAAAAGGTATCCTTACTGGGGCGCCTGGGTGGCTCAGTTGGTTAAGCGACTGCCTTCAGCTCAGGTCATGATCCCAGGGTCCTGGGATCGAGCCCCGCATCGGGCTCCCTGCTCGGCGGGAAGCCTGCTTCATCCTCTCCCACTCCCCCTGCTTGTGTTCCCTCTCACACTGTCTCTATCTCTCTCTCCCTGTCAATTAAATAAATAAATAAAATCTTAAAAAAAAAAAAAAAAGGTATCCTTACTATGAGCCACCACTGCAGAGTATTAGGCTCTGAGGGAGAGGAAGCAGAGGACGTTCAGTAAATACTAACTGGAAAATATGGGCTGATGTGAGACCAGCATTTTCTAATTAACATATACTGTATTATTAGTATATAAGGTAGAATTTAAGCAATCTCAAATTACTTAATTTAAGGTAGCATTTAGTGATTCATCAGTTGCATATAACACCCAGTGCACATTACCTCAAGGACCCTCCTTAATGCCCGTCGCCCTATTACCCCATCCCCCACCCACCTCCCCTTCAGCGACCCTCAGTTTGTTTCCTAGAGTTCAGAGTCTCTTATGGTTTGTCTCCCTCCCTCTTTTTATCTTATTTTATTTTTCCTTCCTTTCCCCTATGTTCATCTGTTTTGTTTCTTAAATTCCACATGTGAGTGAAATGATATAGTATTTGCCTTTCATTGACTGACTTATTTCACTTAGCATAATACCTTCTAGTTCCATCTACATTGTTACAAATGGCAAGATTTCATTCTTTTTGATGGCTGAGTAATATTTCATTGTATATATATACCACATCTTCTTTATCCATTCATCTGTCGGTGAACAGTATTTGATATTGGGAAGGGTGTTGTTCAGTCCAGTACTGGGTTAGTACAAGAGGTTCCTGGTAATTTCTGAAGGGTGTATAACAGTCTGGACCTTGTGAACTCTGAAGAGTGACCAGCCAAAGCTCCCTTCAGGGACATTCCCCTCCCCTCCCTGCCCCTGCTCCCCATCCACTTAGAAGAAATAATGGGAGTGGAATAAAAATTGAGCAGGGTAGAGACCCAGAGATGAAGAAAGAGAAGGTCCAGATAAAATTGGAGGAGGGGAATGGAACGAAGAAGCCTTAAAAATCAAGCTAGCACATCTTTAAAACAGAAGAGGGAGCTATGTGAAGTTAGAACCACACATTTGAAAAGTTCAGGAAAAGTAATGTCATAGGAAAAAGTATATTATAAAGAGATTGAGGTAAAATCCCACACAGAATTATTATGAAATGAGAAAAGAGAATAAATTGGAGAATAATATCCCTGTAGATAGTAGAAGCCCACCACAAAGACATGTCCACAAAACAGATAAAAACTGTAGCATCTTTCTTTCTTTTTTTTTTTTTAAAGATTTTATTTATTTATTTGAGAGAGAGACACAGCGACAGAGGGAACACAAGCAGGGGGAGTGGGAGAGGGAGAAGCAGATTCCCTGCTGAGCAGGGAGCCTGATGTAGGACTTGATCCCAGGACCCTGGGATCGTGACCAGAGCTGAAGGCAGACGTTCAACCGACTGAGTCACCCAGATGCCCAAGGAAGAGATTTTAAAAAATCAATCATAAGTGAAGAAATAAAAAGGATTCAAGAGAAAATAATGAATATTGAGAATGGGGGAAGGGGCGCCTGGCTGTCTCAGTTGGTGGAACATGCGGCTCTTGATCTTGGGGTTGTGAGTTTGAGCCCCACGTTGGGTGTCGGTTACTTAAAAATAAAATAAGAAAAAAAAGTAAAAAGAAAAAAAGTAAAAAAAAAGACAGTGGGGGGTGGGGAGGAAGAAAAGATCCAACATAAGGATACTAGGAGTCCCTGATTTGAAACACCAACAAAGTAAAGGGATGGAACAGACACAAATCTATAATCTCAGAAATGTTACCTGAAATAAAAGAATTGAAATTCAGTATTGAAAGAGCACATGTTACACACCTGAGAATATGGATTTAGAACAACAATCACTGAAACATTCTAGTAAAATTATTGAACCCTAAATGAAAGGGGGGTGGAAGAAACTGAGCATCTGGGCAAAGAGGCTGCTGAGGAAAGGGCAAGTATTGGCAGACTTTGCTATGGTAACGCTTTATGCTAAAGGAAAACATTTAAGATACTTCAGGGAAGAAAATGTGAACCAAGAATTCTAGATCCATTTTATTTTATTTATTTTATTTATTTTAAAGATTTTATTATTTATTTGACAGAGAGAGACACAGTGAGAGAGGGAACACAAGCAGGGGGAGTGGGAGAGGGAGAAGCAGACTCCCTGCAGAGCAGGGAGCCCGATGTGGGACTCGATCCTAAGACCCTGGGATCACGACCTGAGCCAAAGGCAGACGCTTAACGACTGAGCCACCCAGGCGCCCCTCTAGATCCATTTTAATTGACTTTCAAGTATAACACACACAGAGAGACTGTCATCAATCATGAAAACACTTGGGTGATAGTGTTCCCTTGAGCCCTTCCTTTGGTAAAGAATAAGTTGCAGCCAACCAAAATGACTAGAGATGCATCAACATTAGGATGAGTGATGAGCATTAAATGCAATTATTGGTAGAATTAATCATAATTGTGGGCTAACAAGGAGAGAATACAACATATAATGAATCTATCCTCTGACAGTGAAGATACAGTACAACTCAAAAATGGAGGAGAGTGGGGAGAGTTAATGCCAAAAAAATTTTAAACCATTTTTAGAAGTCAACTTAGTGGAGATACTTTCAGTAGTGCCATTTTGAGACTGTTGTGTGTGAAATATGGGATAAAGCAGATGGGCAAATATGGGACAGTTTAGTTCTGTTACCCTCTTTGTTCTTGAGAACCAGTATACTCATGGAAGAAAGGAGAAACAGAGGTAATACAGACAAAGCTAAGTAAAAACCCTCTAGTTTGACATTTAAGTTGGAAGCATCAGGATAAATTACTAAAGTATTTTATCCTTAACCATGAAAGACCTAGACCATTGACCACTCAGCAATTATGCAGCCATAGTGCTCACAGTTCATGTGATGTTGAAATACCATTTCTCACTAAAAACAAACTAGGGATTTTTAGAGAAATGATTGACCACAAGTCAAGGCAAAAAACATACCAGATGAGTCAGGAATATCTTGTCATACACATAGCAAGGAAGCTGTCAAAGATTACTGGGGTCATGTCAAAGGACTCAGGAGACAACTTGAAGAGGCTCCTACGCGCCAAAGATGGGACACTTTGGGCTTCAATAAGGATGAAAATTAAAATGGATTGGAATGCCTCAAACAGTCCATAAGTTTATAATGATACCCAAAACTAACCGGTCACTTTTGAAGGGTAATAAGGAACTAATTTTTATCTTTAAAACTATTAAGAGAAAGAGTCAAGCATTACTGTCCTTATATAACCATATTACTGAGTAACCATACAGTCAGTAAGGGAAAACTCTATAGAAATATCCCAGTTAATAAATGAAAAGGGAGGGGTGCCTGGGTGGCTCAGTCGTTAAGCGTCTGCCTTTGGCTCAGGTCGTGATCCCAGGGTCCTGGGATCGAGCCCCGCATCGGGCTCCCTGCTCTGCAGGGAGCCTGCTTCTCCCTCTCCCACTCCCCCTGCTTGTGTTCCCTCTCTCTCGCTGTCTCTCTCTCTGTCAAATAAATAAAATCTTAAAAAAAATAAATGAAAAGGGAAATGATAGAAGTAGAGTATCACTATTTTCAACCCCCAGCGAAGAAATGGATCTAGGCGATGAGCATGAGTGGCTGCTACCATCATAAAAGGGGAGGCAAGCAGATATATGCCTGCTATGAAAGAACAGAACCTATAATCTTGCCAAAGAGATGAAACCTGAATCTGATCTAGTCTTTGGATCCAACTACCTGTTTCTGGAAAATAGAGGACAGGGGAGCATGCTGAGCTGCACCATGAGTATGTAGTCAGCAAAATCCAGACTGGGAAATTCTACCAGTCAAACTGCCTGGATTCATCAACAGGTAAATTGAAAGGAAAAAAGGAATGGAAGACTTGAAAGACATCAAATTAAAAAAAAAAAAAAAAAACTTAAAGGGCACGACTAAAGTATTAGTTCCAGGGATGTATACATGGGTTCCTATGTATAGAGAAATGCAAGAGAGTGATTACTATGAAAATCAGGATAGTGGTTAATGTGGGGGAAAGGGAGGAAGTTGTAATTGGGATGGTGCACGTGGAGGACTTTTGGGATAGCTGGTGAACAAAGTTGTATTTCTTGACCCAGGTGGTAGTTACAGGGGTGTTGGCCTTGTAACAGTCCATTAGGCTATATATTTGTTTGTGTGGTTCTCTATGTGTGTTTTGCTGTATAATAAAATGGTTAAAAATGTACTCTATCTTCATTTATAGTAAATAACAAATTTCTTTCTTGGTGGTAAAAATGGTCAGCATCAACACAATGTGGGGTCAGAGGTCATGGATGTGGTGATGTGAGGGTCAGTGTCCATTTGGCACCACTTCTGTGAACCTGTTGGTATG